CCTGGAAGTTGGCGATGAAGTGATCACGAAGTTCTGCCCATGATCATATCGTGCCACGGGGTAGTCCATGGAGCCAGGATCGGGCGGAATCTGCTAGGGCCACAGGTAGATAGTTTGCCATGGCCTTGCTATCTCCTCCTGCTACACGGATTGCGAGTCCGTAGACGGTGAGCCAAGACTCTGGATTAGTGGTGCCGTCATACTTCTTGATTCCACTCGACGCAGGTCATTAGTGAAGGCAACTACTCCATCCACGTCGTCGTCGTAGCGATCTGGTGAATGGCGGTGACCTCGTGCTGCACGGCGCTGGTTGATCATGTCGCGAAGATCGACGGGACGCTGGCGAGGTGGAGAGCGAGGCTGTTCAACTCGGCGTTCCCTGTGACATTCGGGAGGCGAGTGAACAGATCGTTCGTCGTGGCCCCTGCTCCTGCGACTGGATCCTGTGCCGATGATGCTGAGGCTTGGCTGATGATAATCATGAGATCGGAGATGGGGAACCCGGCTACCAGTCGGCATGCGAACGCTGCCGGAGTTAACCAGAACTGAAGCGGCGATCATGGTCTTGGTCTGGTTCAAGATGTTGACGACGTGATCGGCTTGATTGAGTGCGTCTTCCTTGAGGAGGGTGTCGAGAAGGGTGATCGCAGCGACAGCGTTCTGTTGGGGGGTGCGGAAGACCGCTGTCCCCTCAACCTCTTTTTGCCCGATGAGTTCTCTCGCTCATCGCCCGGATTCCAAGGCGCGTTGCCGTCGATCTTCAGCCTCCTTTGCAATCCGTTCGCGATCTTGTTGCTCACGCTGTAGTCGTTCTCGCTCCTGTCGTTGTCGTTCTTCTTCCAATCGGCGACGTTCAGTTTCTTGCCGTGTGCGCTCTTCCTCCACTTCTCGGGCTCGGCGCTGTTCCTCCGTTTCGTTGTCAGCCATGAATATGCCGAAAAAGAGAGGCGTGTAGTTATCTTCGTAGCTGTCGTCGAAGTCGTCGAAGTTGCCGTGGTCGTAGTGGTAGCCGAAGTCGTCGTAGTCGAGGATCTCGGTTGGTCGTGAACTGACGCCAGGGGAGCTGAGGTAGCCATCCAATTCTTCCGTCGAGACTGTCCCAAGAGGTTGGAGTATAACGCCAACCTCCCTAGAGCTAGATTGGATCGGGGCCGAAGCCGGATCTCGCCTAGATCGTCGGGTGGGGAGATGCCTTGGTGGTGAAGACAGCGGCCAGATCATCAGGAAGTCTCATCAGGATTAAGGGATAGGACCCGTCTTCTTGATCTGGTCGCGGAGGAGTAGATTGGATCTCGTCCGAGTGGTTTGAAGCCGACTTGGGAGAGATGATCTTGGAGTAGGCCTCGGCAGAGTTCGGAATACCGAACAGCGCGGGGACCTGGTCTCTCCCCGACTGGTTCGAATCCGAGTCAAGGAGAGAGATCCTGCCGAGGTCGTTGGTCATGAAGTTGAGGCTGCCGAACCGGAACGCCTGCCCGGGAGGGAAGGCGAAATCGTCGATGCCGGAGACGGAACCCATCGCACTTAGTCGGCAAAAACTTGACGCTGCCCCTACCTGGCGCGCCAACTGTCGAAACAAGATTTCGGCAATAATAAAAGGGGGTGGCTATCAAGCTAGGAAAGTGGATGGGTTTGGAGACAAGGAATTTTATACAGGTTCAGGCCTTCTTATTCAAGAAGTAATACCCTACTCCTATTCGGGGATGATCCCGCCGAGTGTGTTATTTATCGTATGATCTGGGAAAAAAGAAATTGTCCCGAGAGGAACCCGGACCCCTCCTTATATAGGGGAAGAGATCCGTATTACAAAATACGGTCTATATCCCTAACGGAATATGTGATTACAGATAAAATACAATCGTAACCGACTAAGATCTCAGGTATTTCCTTGACATACAAGTTAGAAACTAACCCGAGTCCTCATAAAGATATTCTATCTATATTTGGTACCGTATATCCGACTAAATTATAACTGTCATGTAGATATGGGGTATCCATAATCTCCACAGTTCGTGTGATATGGCGTGTTATGACGAGCAGAAGGGTTTTGTTTGTATACCCGAATCCATAGTGGATTACCCTTGTCGCGCGCGGAAAAGCTAGTTAACTTTTTGGGAGTTAACGTAGTTAGTTACTTAGTTAAGGATAATGACAAAATTAAGAGAATACTTCCTTTTTTTTGAGTTTTTTTACTAACAAATTGAAAACTTTCAAGTTAGATTTGAAAATTTTTGACTTAAAATTTAAACTTTAAAGTCAAATTTTGAAAACTTTCAACTCAAACTTTGAAAATATTCAACTCAAAATTTAAATTTGTAAGACATTTTGAAAATTTTCAACTCAAGATTTGAAAACTTTCAACTTGAGATTTGAAAACTTTTACCTCAGATTTGAAAATTTTCAACTCAAGATTTGAAAACTTTTGACTCCAGATTTAAAAACTTTCAACCCAAAGATTTGAAAATACGTGGGTTGAAGATTAAAAAAAATAAAAAAACGAAAAAAGAAAAAATGACAAAAAAAGAAAATCGCAAAAAGAAAAAAAAACAGCGCTGGAGGTGCTAGCTGGCGTGCGCGACAGCAACGGAGGTCACACGCACCAATTAGCAATCCCCGATAACAATACGTATGTTCGGCCGTTTGTTCAGCCTTGCCCCGTCCGGGTAGGAATATGGCTCTGCTTAATGCTCATGGCTACTTCCTCCGTTTTATAATGTAAGACTTTCTAGCATTGCCCACATTCAAATAGATCTTAAATGATATGTCTAGATTCATTTAACATCTATTTGAATGTGGGCAATGCTAGAAAGTCTTACATTATGAAACGGAGGGAGTATTAGCTAATTTAAATATTCTCCTAGTTGTGTAAGTATTTTCCATTGCCAAATGACAATTTGAATGTGCTGCTCGTAGTGTGTAGAATACTAATCCCTCATGCTTAATAATACTTGTTGTTTACATAAGACTAATATGAAACTTTAAAATCTTTAACCATAGATAATTTTCAAAATATCTTTTCATAAATATAGAGATCATATGTAAAGTTTAGTCTTAAAAAATACTTTAATAAAACCATATATTTGTGAGAATTACTGTACAACGTGTTGTTTACTAAACAACGCTTTTCACCGCCCTATTCCCTTGCCCCGTGCGGTACCACCAGTTGTCGAAGTGACAACCGCGCACGTCGAAGGACGTGGTTACTCAACAGTGTTGGAAACAGTAAATGTATTAAGTAGTTAAAATTTTTCGGGATCCCCCTTTACACGGCCCTAGGGGGCTATTTATAATCCTATTGCATAGGGGGCTATTTATAATCCTATTACAGGTTCTCCATTAGGGTTTAGGTTTTACAGGGGAATTTACATGGTTGCCCTTATGAAAACGATGTTTATACGGGTACACAGTGTAATTTGGATACATAGGCCTTCTATGGGCCGACTGGCGAACGTTAGTGAAACGACCCACATATTCCACAACAAGAGTAGAATATAAGTCTATAGCATATATCTTCATAAACATCGTTTACTCAGAGATATGCACATCAGAGTTGCATAGCAGAAACATCGCATTGGTTCCAGTTATTATAGTACCATAGATACAGCTCAAGACAAGCCTCGAGCGATAACAGCAAAATAATATACAAACCCCAAAAGCTCAGCAAATATACAACACACTAGAAAATTCACAAGTACCGCTACAGATATTGCTTCTATTCATATTAACGTTACTGCTACTAGTACAAATACTACCGCTGCCACTGCTACTACCATCACCACTACAGCAACTATATGAACCATGCATATTATACACTAATTATCATAGTCAATCTCAGCATCATCGTAGAGTCCTTCCTGGTTGTCATCCATAACATGAGTTCCTTCACTTCCAGCCATATATTCTTGTTCAACAGATTCTAATGATTCAACATCTATATACAAGGAATTAACATAGGGGATGAGTACAAATGGTACTCAACAAGCCCATCAATAGCAAGAAAATGTGTGAATGCAACTATCTCTAGAATCCAAGATTCTTCAAAGAATTCATAATGTTTTTGACAAATATTTGTTGCAAAAATTCAAATTTTAATTATAAAACACTACTGCATATCAAGTACCACAGGATAGAATCTCCGATTGATCCCTTTCCTGCCGCGTTCGCAGTTTCTACCCGAAACAGGGAGTGACATATCACAATTCATACACTCTGCAGAGGTGTGTCGCTGTACCCACTGACGCCTTAAACCTTTTAATGCCCACGCCCGTCGGCGCTTGAAGCACACTTCATGGTGTATGCCGGCAAGGCTAAGGTCACAAGCTTTTTATCAATCCCATCTATTAATTATCTCTGCGGGTGATTCCCGCAACAACAGCGAATCATTGGATCCTGCAACAATGGCGATCCACATCATCTAATCGAATTCTGCAACAACAGCAACCCTCATCGCTAGGCCACGCTCACAGGATTCGCGGAAGTCCTTAAGCCCGTTGGATAAAGCCATTAAGAAAGAACTACTAAGCTAGCATGTCCCATTCCAAGTCATATGGTCGACACGATCGCTACGACGCTTGCATACCTTACAGCAGTTGTTAATTAACCTTATGATGTTAAGCATATACAGCTGACTACACAATAACCAAGTTCAGACTGCCAATTATTAAGATCACCAAAGAACTGATCCACAGATCCACATGCACAATATTAACATTCAAAAATAAATTTCTGGTTTTCTATGCAATGGTGAGAGTTATATAGGTTGCAAATATTTGAAATAACTAAGCAATATGATCAAGAGATGGACTTGCCTGGATAAAAAACACCACGAATACCCTCAAATTCAATCGAAATGAATGATTCCTCAGGAACTCGAACTTCTGAAAAAAAAAATACGAAAGTCCGAATAAGGACATATTCCGAACGCATAATTTACCGCATGCAATGCATATGAATGATGTATTATGAATGGCAAATATAATGATCAGGTGCTGCTTTATAAATTTATTTTGCTCTGTTCAGATTTTATTTTAACACTCATATCAAGAATTTAGAATCATCAATTTATATGACATAAAAACTTGCTCACATTCTGTTCTAAATCTAAATCTAATTTCCTGGAGACTATATATGATCAATTTAGTCCAGCCCACAAAACCAAAGCCCAACCAGCCCACTTTCTTTCTTCTCATCTTCTTCTGTCCCTATCTCCTTCTCTCCCTCACGCCTTCTCTCCTGTGCCGCCATCCCCAAACAGCGCCGCCAACACCGACGCTCTCCCTCAGGCCGGCTGCCATGCCCCACTCCGGTGATCTCCCTAGCAGCTACCCCTGCAGTGATTTGATCCCCCTAGTTCCCACAAACTCATGTCCTGCTTCACCTCCATCCTCTACTACCACCACTCCTCTCTCAAGTAATTTGAGCATTGCTGTCCTCCATGGCTATTGGTACCCAACTCCTGTGATGGTCGCTGTGGAGACGGCCAATGCCTCAAATGGCAACTCTGCCGGCCACAACCCTCACCAGTAACTCCATATCCCTTTTCCCCCTTCTATTTCTCTGTTCTATTTCTCATAATGTCTCACAATAGAAGTATTTGTTAGATGTGTGCCACTGTAACCTTGTAATGCAAATAATATGGTCTCTAGATTCTTGATTTGTAAATAATCTGACTTCTAATCATGATTATATGCCATGGATGATGCTCTTAATCTAGTTTACCTCTTTGTTGATTATTCAGTGGTTGTGAAAATATATAGTTGAACTCCTCTTTTGCTTCTACTGCAGCTTCTATTGGTTGGTTGATTCTACTGAATCAGCGTCTCCTCCTTGAGCTGGGGTACCTGCTCCAAATGGAGCTGGAGCCCCTGCTCCACCTGATGTTGGGTGATTTTGCCCTCTTGTATTTTTCTTTTCTTCTCTAACTCTCTGGTTATGGTGGTTCTTCTTGCTAACTGGTTTTGGTCTCTACGAGGAAAATGAGGCTCGGTCAGGATGGAGTTCACACTGATATGGTTTTTGTGACAGGGACATGGTTGACTACTAGGTGACTCACCTACTAAGGTTTTACTGGTGGTCTCCCTGTTTGACACCTAAGCATGGTTTATTCGGTGGAGGCTCAGCATAATTTTTCACAGATTTGCAATTAAATAAAAACCTAGTGAAAAATATAATATTTGTAACTTTTGCATTATAGTACCATAGACTTTAAAAATATGGAGATTACTTTGAGTTTAGGGACTGATTTTCAATTGCCCAAAAACTCAGAGTTTACCTAAGAAATAAATAGTTTTGGAAGCTACTAAGAGATGGCTAATGTTACTAATTTTGTGCCCCGAAATGGTTTGGTTGCAAAATATGTGACATCAAGCAACTCTAAATTTTCTCTTTTGCCTAAATCTTATATTTGAAATCTCCTAAAGCAATTAGGTGTGGTCACAGATCACACCAATATTTTTATTTAATTTTCACTATTTCTATTTTAGATGAATAATGTATGAGATGCATTATTTGATGTATGCAACAACACTGTATAATGTATATGTGAAGAAATAAAGAATTTACTTATGTGTCTAATTTGTGTTTTCATCTGTGATATATGCATATGAATCGATCCTCTAACGCAAAAAAAAAAAAAAATCCAAGCCAATCGTGTGACACAACTAGTCGTTCAGCTCAACACACTGAGCATACTATAACTAGGTTGCCAACAGCGCGGCGAAGCAAATTAAAATTTTAGGTTCGTTACAGTTAGCCCATTAGCGAATAACCCTAAGAGGCCGGGATGGCCCATTGGGCTTCCCTGGTGCCGAACCTGCTAAAGCGAAGTCTACACCCTTCGCCCCATATGACTGGTCCTGCGAGGTACCCACACGGCTTTTTGGCCTTAGCCGTCTTTGTTCCACAGCCTTCGCCATGGAGGCTTCGCCCAGGTACACTTGACGTCTTTGGCTTGAATCCTTGTTGGTATCATGGTTTCGGTAGGTCTGGTCGAAGGGTCTCATGCCATACCGCCAACAAGCCCCTCACAGGCGAGGGTGAGTAAGGAGCTTCAGCCGAGACCGTGCAAATTATGTGCTATGGTATGAGGTGCCCCCATTCCGACGTTCCTGCCGAAACCCATAGTGGAGTCCTGCAAGAAATTTTGAACGCATTCATTTATATTTTTATGGTTACCATTGTTTCGAATAGCTTTCGCCATTTGCCCGTGTCGAAGCCCTTTTTTCTTTTTTGGTGGGCTGCTGTGAACAGAGATGGGCTTCTCTCTGTGGGCCTAGCGCTGTGCGGCCCGAGCCAATGGGAATTTACCGTTTCGCCTGGCCCTGGGACACGTGGCGGCTTATGATTGGGCGGGGAGGTAAATCGTCGCCTGGGTGGGTTATATATACCCCCCACCCGGTTTTTACCACCACCCCCCAGTCATTTTCACCGCGAGCTCTCTCTTTCTCTCTCTCTTTTGTGCGCTTTCGATCCGCTAGTCTTTTCAGCCATATTCCTTCGACAGGTCTCTCACTTTTCGACATAGCCCCTCGCAAGCCAGACCCGGCCTCCGTAACAGGCCCTAATCCCGGCAAGATTGATGATGACACCACCAATCTGGTAAATCAAGAAATGAAGAGGTATTGGTATATCAATGAACACACTCCATAGAGTTTCTGCTCAAATCAGAGTGTTGGAAATTAAGAAACAGCTGCTTATCTGGGGACTTCGCTTGTCGACGAAGATGAGCTTGCGAAGCTGGTTGACTCCGGCGTGCTGACGGAAAAGCAGGTCTCTGCCCTGGGAAAGGCTGTGGTGCCAAAGCCCGCCGACAACCGGACGATGGTCTTCGCTGTGTTCTTCGAGGCAGGCCTTCGGTTTCCATGCAACGTCTTGCTACCGGAGATCCTTCGCCTGTTTTACGTGGAGCTCCCCCAACTGAGCCCATCGGCTCTCGTCCGGATCGCCATCTTTGACTGGGCATGTCGGACTGGTAGGTTCGAACCGAGTGCTGAGCTTTTCGGTGCCATTTTCTATGCCACCGTAAACTTGAAGACGAAGAAGACAGCGTTCGGGAGCGTGAACTTCAATGTTCGCCCCGAGCGTTCCGATCTCTGGCCAGTTAATGCTTCTATGTCCAAGTGGGATCGCCACTGGATGTCGAAGTGGTTCTACCACTCCATCCCCTTCGAGGCCAGGTCAGACGCAACGAAAGCTCTCCGATGACGGCGCAAAGCGATCGCGCCGATCAGGAAACCGAAGGTTGCTGGCATCATGGAGGCCCGTTTCTCCCTGCTTCGCAAAGTCTGCCTCCGCCTTAGCTGTCGTGACTTGGTAGAGGAGTTTTGCGTGCTTCAGATCTTCCTCCTCTCCCAGTCATTGCAAATCGAGGTGGACCGGGACGAGGAGGCCGATGGCCTGTCGAAGCTTGTCATGCCAAAGGGGGGGGCGAAAAGTAGGCTTCTGCTTCCTACATGTATTTGTATTTCGCTCTTTTTCCCTGCTTGGCGCCTGATATGATAAGATGTTTTGTTTTTGTAGTGTTAACTCTTGTTCAGGCCGAAGCCGAAGCTCGGAAGGTGATCGGCGATGTGTCGATCACAGAATACAGCCAGCTGCTTACGCGGCAGGCGGCTGGTCGGGCGAATCACATGTGCGATGGCGATCTCCCCTCCCGGGCGAAGCCCTCCGAGGTCGATGGCGATGAAGGGACCTCCAAGAAGCGCAAACGTGGGCAAGTCAAATCGGCCCCACGGAAGCGAAAGGCCCCTGCCTCCACCGACTCTGATGCTAACGATGAGGACACCGTCGACGACTAGGACAGTGAAGAGGAGGGGGAGGATGAGGTGGAGACGGATGTTGCGATCGAAATGGCCGCGAACGAGCTCGCCGACAACCGCATCGAGATGCGCGGCTACACCCCAACCCCAAGTCCAGACCATGTCGAAACTGGGGTGGAGTCGAACAGTTCCCCCCTCGGCCGGAAGGATTTGGAAGGGGCAAAGCCACTGGTTTCGATTGCGGCGGCCAAGGTGGCGAAGGGAGGGAAGGTTAAGAAAACCTCCAAGAAGAAGGGGCTCGTCGATGTCGCTTGTGTTTTCAGCGATGACGAGTCTTCGGATGAGACCCCTACTTCGCCCGCTAGGCGGAGCCATGGTCTTTCGACCGCTCTCGGTGCTACGGCCGACGTGGGCGAAGCGCGAGGGAGCGCTGCGGCCGGTACTTCAGCTTCTGCTGACCGGGTTGTGAACGCCGCTGCCAGGCTCTTCGGAAGCCCTCCGCGTGATCCAGTTGCTTCGCTGCCCGCCATCCAGAAGGGGAAGAAGGCAGCCATTGAGACGTCGGCTTCGGAGTATTCGCTTGCGGCGCCTCGCTTCGCCCCTGGGGATTTAGAGACCCAGGCGGGTCTTATCCCCTTCGTCGAGGGGGTAAGTCATCTCGTTTCTCCGGCTGGGAGCCGAGCCTGTTCACCGAGTTGAACGAGTTCGATGAAGGCTGTACCGCCATCAAGAGCTTAGCCATCCGAGTATGTTATTCATTTTTTTCTTTCTCTTTAATTGTTGTTTTTCCACGACTTATGTTAACGACGATCGCTTTCGCCCCCTCTCCCCCCTTTTTTTTTGACCCAGATTCTTGTGGCTCATTGTTCGACTGAGCGAACCGTGAGGGCTCGCTTTGACGGCTTCAAGAACCATCTTCGAGCTAAGGACGACGAACTGGGCCGCAAGAGCCTACAAATGGAAAGCCTCGCCAACACCCTTAAGGAGGCGAAGGCTGAGAACAGGCGGCTCCAAGCTGAGCTGGAGAAGGGGAGCGAGGCGAAGGCCGAGATCGAGCGTCTCAAGGCCGAGCTTAAAAAGGAACAAGACCAGTCCGCCGCCTTAACTGAGGGTGCGCTCGTTTGTGCATATTGTAGTATCGAATTAAATCTGAGTGTAATTATTACTATAGGCTGTTAGTAGTAAATATGGTTGGTGGCTGAATAGTAGGTAGCAAGGGTTGGATGGAGTTTGACACCGGCTGGAGCAGCTCCATGAGATTGCCGACGGAGCAGTGATGAAAGCGACGCGACGGGACGGGCAGGGCTGTCAGTGCGCAGGCAGCAGTAAAGGCGCTGCAGCCACAGCTGCTGGTGTCGGCGTGACTTGGGAGAGGGTGGGGGTTTTTCCTCCTTGCTCAGCTAGGCCTGCGCGCATGGAGCCGACAGTGAAAGGCGCACAAAAAAAAGAATAAATGTGATCAGCAGGATGATTAGTTGCATATTAATGTACACAATTAATTGCTCGATAAAATTGTAATGAATGTGAAATGCGTGATTGACAATACCGAAGTTCACATAGATAGCAATATAATAGCGTCACACAAATTCGAGTAGAACAACAGGACAGTAGTTTCTCATACCGATAACACACATAAAATAGGATAAATTGAGAAAGACATGAGCAAGGAGTACAAATTTATTAAGGATGGAAAGTGATGCAGGACTAGTTGTTGTAAACTTCATTTGCAATGGCGTCACGAACAGCTCTCATCCCAGCAGCACTGTTAGGTGCGTCGTACCAAGTCGCGCAGCGGTGGTGCCTGTGGGATGGGAGGGTACCCGTTGTACAACCAGTTCTGTGTCATGAAATGGGGGTCTGCACTGTCAAGCCTGAAGTTTTGGAGAGCAAAAACGCAGTGTATGATCTTAGTTTGGGTGTTTGGCCTAGGGAAAAGAGGTATCTCCCTAAAAATCCTCCACTGACTCTTCATAACTCCAAAAGCTCTCTCAACTGAAGTACGCAGGGAGGAGTGTGTATAGTTGAATGTTTCTTCCCTCCCTTGCAGTTGACCAGCAAATTCATTCAAATGGTAGCGTACATGCGGGTACGGTGGCAAGAAACCGCACCGGCATGCGTACCCAGAATCCACTAGTAGATATTTACCTGGACAGTGAACATGAGAAATTTCAGATGAAAATTGCATGGGGGAGTAATATGATGGTGATGTGTACTAACTGGATTAAAAAAACCTTCAACATTATGTACTTACCCCATGGCAGCCTTGGAAAATTATGGGGATAGTTCCGGACAGCTTCTGTTAGCACCCTCTGGTCGTGCACAGCTCCAGGCCATCCGGCATGTGCAAATATAACATGATCATCCCATCCAATTACAACTAATACATTCCTTGATGTGATATGATGACGATTGCGGTGCAAATTAGCTTCTTCAACTGCAACACGAACTGGGATGTGGGTCCCGTCTACAGCTAGCAAAAGGCAGGAAATTTTCATCTCGTGCGACCCGGTTATGCACTCTTCGAAAACTTGGATCCACAGGCTTGTTGATATCAGCTGCCATGGAGTAAACTGCATCAAGCACTTTATGGAAGTACTTGCATATGGTTGATCCCGACCGGGCCATCCTATTATTTGTTGCCCTTTGCGACTGCCCAGCTGCCATGATGTATAGAAAAAGCCCTAGTGCTTCCATAGGGCAAACCTCGTTACTTCCATTAAGATGGTAACGATTAGTTAAAATTGCGAACAAAGCATGAATTTGGTCAGCCCTCATGCGAAAGACATTATGGCACTGAGTAGCATTGGCCATTGTCTCCATCATCCACTGCATCCCTGCCTGTTGTGGCGCCCGCCTTGCAGCTCTACCTTGCACTTGGGCTTCCAAATCAGCTACCAACATATCGATTATGTTGTCTTCCTCATCTGTGTAGTTTCCAGCCGATGACCCACTCGTGATATCTGAAGAAGTGCTCATGGTCTTGAACATAATACGTATACAAATAACTTAGTGGTTACTGCACTTTCGAAGTGGACAACATATATAGTAAACATGAATGCTCCATGCAATGTACATATTAGTGCAGTAAGTTAACAATAAGTTTTGTTAGTGCATTAAGCTAACACCTGCACAGCGAAGACACAACCATGTTAGAACTGTTAGTGCTACAAAAATACTAAAAGTTAAATTAGCGAAGAAAATTGTGAACCCAAAAGTTAACAACCTAACATTCGACAGTGATACGCATGAGCAATAATTAATGGCCCTATATGCACGTCAAACATAAATACGGGAAGTGCATGCTGCAAGTAGTCACTGATGTACTGTAGTTCATTAAATACTTCATTTAATTCGGTTCCTGCAAAGAAAGCATCATCAATTAGCACTTGAATGAAGTGCTCAGTCGCTTTTCACCAGGCAGTACAACCTGCATGTCAGTCAACCTGCATGTCGCCAACCTGCATGTCAATATAGAATGCAACACACAATAATAGGCAGAATAACAAGATAACTAGGGACTAAGCAAACTTATTGAAAAGCTACATCAAACGAAATGTGCCGATATTGTTTTCACCTACACACTCAACATAATACCACAGTTACGTTGCTCGAGATGAAGTCGAGCAAAAATTATTCGAGACAGACAACACGTTCGAAAAAAGAAGTGCTCATGGTCTGGCACACTCATCGTTCGACAGGAACTCCCAGACGGATCGATTATCAGATAGTGTCATGCAATGTTAAAACATTGCATATCCGGAAAGATCATAGCTTCCAGGGACGCCCCCGTAGAGAGCACCCCCATAACCAGATCCCCCATAGCCGGCAGCACCACCATTTCCATCATCGCCGTCGTCATCACCACCTTTACCATGACCACCTTGTCCTCCCTTGTTGTCCCCAACTCTCTCGCCGTCATCATCAGCACCGTCCTCATCATCTCCAGCTCCAACTCTTTCAGCTTCGGCAGCATAACCAGAACCCTCTCCAACCACAATACCTAGAGGTGACAATCAATAACTGTAATAACAACTGGTTATGTATTGTAAATGTAACAACAACTTTATGTGACAACAACTTGCGCAATATTGATCAACACTTTATGTAACTAGGGGTTTTGTTATTGTGTAGCACTTTATGTAACTAGAACCTAGAGGTGACTTCCAGTAATGGTAATAAACCTTAAATAGTAGGTTGCCATCATTGCAAATTATGTCTTTGCATAATGCTTAACAACAGCAGGAATGACTTTGGTACCAACAGTCTAGGTATGAACAAGAGCAAGTATGAATGAAAATAAATTGTATGATGAACCTAAACAAGCTGCATGCAACATACATACCGGGAGGAGCTGACTGGAGGTATCCTCCAAAACCAGGCGGGGGTAGTGGCTGGTACTGGGCCATGTCCTGATACTGGGACTGGATGAAGTAGAGCCTCCCCTCCGGTGTGGGGCAGTCATCAAGGAAAAACTCGCGCAAGAAGCCATCACGAAATACCCGGAGGGCCATGTGGTATATTGGGTCCCTGGAGCTGACTCCGTCTGCCTTCAACAGCTCCATGCAGGCCCTAGCACTCTTTGCTTGCTTGAGCTCTTCGCGCCTGGCCCTGCTCTCGTTTGACTGAATGCGGAGGTTCGCCAAACGGTTCAGTGCGCCACTGGCATAAGATCCCCTTGACCACTTCGAGCTGCTGCCAGAGGATGTTCCACCAGTGAGTGTTCTCTTGCCACGCCGTGGAGTTTGATCCTCGGGTTCTTGCTGCGCTTGCTCAGTCAAATCCTCAATGTCGAGGATTTCAGCCTGTTGAGGAGCTGCAGAGATGGCGCATGGGCTCACAGGGACCCCAGAGCGGTTTAGGGTACATACCCTACCCCTAAACACCGTGTGGTTCTCTGGAGTGAAGAGAAGGGGACCGTTGCGGAAGGCACGGGCACCTCTCCTCATCTGCACAGGAATAAGCACAAAAGGATTAATGAGTACGGTATTCATAAAAATCATACTAAACAGTATGCAAGGCATATGTACTTGTAATCAAATGATATGTAATACTACCTTTAGTACTCTTAAAAGTAGACTAAATGAGCTATACATTACAATAAACTAGTACAGCTACAACCTTATCTTAATTTAGTCGTAACTAATTAAGTAGGTTGGTTTATGTCAAATAATAGTGGTGCAAGTTTTTATAAGATCAGTCCTTACTGACTGATGCCATGGTTGGTTAGAACATAATAAGAGGAAACGACGTTATGTAATTCTAAACATATTATTCATAAATGTACCTTTAGTACACATAAATGCAGCCTAAATGAACTCTACATTTCAGTTCACTTCTACAGCTAGAACTACTTAAATAGCTAATTAGCCGATCGCATGGTTGGTTCCAACTAAATTCGAAAATGCTACCTTATGTACTTGCAAACAAATAATTTGTAATACTACCATTACTACTCATTCATTGTACAGTAAATGGCCTTTACATTACAGTAAACTACTACAGCTACAACCATAACTACCAATAGTCCTAACTAATTAAATACCTTGGTTAAAGTCACATAAAGCTAGTAATAGTGATTCTGAAAGTACTCCTAAACAGAAGCATGCTCAGTCATAAAACAATAGCGCTACCTCTGTACAACACTAACTGAAGAGTATGAGCCTACATGAACATGACAACAGAGATAAGTACTAGAGCAAAAAGTATTTCTATCTAATTACTTCCAACTAATTAAATAGCTTCGTTAAACTCAGCATACTAGTATTACATGTAATCAAACGGTGTGCAGTACTTACATTAACAGTAGTCTCTAATGCTACACCTGTTCAGCATACATTTTGATTTGCTAATTACTAAAATGTATATGAACCTATATTGATGACAAGAACAGGAATGAAATGAACACATACCTGGTCCATCCTTGTCCACCACTCAGGGCTTGCAAGGATGTTTCCCGTGAATGGGCAGCGCCCAAGGCCAGTTGCCATCGACTCCAGCCAGCACCATGTTTGGAAGCGTCGGCGATAAGTGTCCCCAAAGTTCTTCAACTGAGTGCGGTTCACAACCTTCTGGGCCTTCTGAACTGAGTGTGGTTCACAACCTTCTGGGCCTTCTGGTACATCTTGACCTCAAGGTTGGCGTAGCCTTGGCGGTTTGGGCAGGTGCTCGTGATGGTTCGTGCCTCGATCTCTTCCATGTAAGCCTCGAGGAAAGCTTGCAGCTCCGCCTCGTTCCAAGTGGTGTGCCCAGCAGCCATCTATGAACCAAAGTCATGCAAGCAAAAAAATGGGGAATAAATCACAAAATGTTGGGCTGTACCTTCCGAAGGTGATCGGAGTCGAGGAGGTCCCAATCGAGCGCCACAGCAACGTTCCCCGGGGTGAGCTGGCGCACCAACTGGCAGATGGCTTCAGGGAAGTTCAAGGCGATGCAGATGACGGCGCGAGCTACAGCTTGCACATCTTCTTCGGTGGTGGCGGTGTAAGCAGCGTCCGAACGGAGAGATGTGAAGAAACCCTCAGAGGATTCCAGATCTGAAGGTAGCCCCCTCCTTCTAAGCAAAGCGATGGGCGACGGAGGCAAATGGAGGAGGTGATGGGTAGGGGATTTGTCGACGATGAGTTTGCGCTTCACGCCTACCGCAGCCATGCCCTTATATAGAGCTGGATCCCCTTTCCGCAATGGCGATGCAAGGGCGCCAAATCCCCTTCAACTGTGCAGCACGAGATCGGAGATGACCGGTCTCTGCAATGGCCACAGCGATTCCGGAATCGGGCAGCTGATGCCTTCCCTCTGCACGAAGCGCCGATGCCCCTGCGAACGGCACCTTTCTCCTCCTCCGATGCACCACACCAAAGTGGGCTTGTGGATGCTTCCTTTTTAGGCCAAGCAGCCTATGCCATGCGCGTGGTCTGCCAGGCTTGCCCGGACTGGCGACGATGAAGATGATGCAGACGACGACTGCCCTCTATGCTTGCTGCCACGATTCGAGATTCGACGACCGCCGGTCTTCATACTCCTGCAGGCGACCTCGAGATGTCCTCTGTGCGAAGAACAATGGGGAGGGCACAGCAGTATATTTTGGGCAATAGGTGAGCTTGAGCTTGGACATGCAACAATGGTGGTGCGGTGCTCTGGAAGGAACGATGAATGGCAAAACACAACACGCAAGCTTTTGGGGAAAGTTTAGCTCACTGCGAAAACTGATGGGTAATAAGGTGTCTGGACCAGACGGAAAGGCAGACGGCCACCTAACTCTCGTCACCACCGTCACCATTACATCTGTGTCCATGTTACTGACTAGCGCCCCCTCCTCCACGCCTGATGCATGTCTATACGCGCAGCACAGCCAAACCTACACTAATGAGCGCACCCTGAATAATACAACCTTACCGAGCCGAAGATGGAGGCTCTTCGTCTGGAGGCCCGCAAGGCAAAAGCAACTGCTGAGAAAGACGCACAAAGGTTCACGCGGGAGATGGCGAAGGCGACTGAGTCCGTAAAGACCACGTGCCACACGCTTTGCCTCGCCCTTACTGAAATGGGGGAGAAGGTGCGAGTAATCCCTGGCGAAGGTGCTTCTGCCTTCGACTTCTCGGAGTGGACCCAACAGGCCGGCGGTGCGGTCTCCGATTCCGCCACCGCGTACGCCAATTGTTGCGCGTGTGTGTCAGTGGCCTTCACCATGGGCCTGCTGCAACAAAATGAGTGCGAGCACATCGCCGAGTTCCCCAAGCTTACGAAGGGGGATTGGGAAGTCAGCTCTCAGGACGTTTCGCCCGCCTTACGCGCCTGGCGCAAGCAGTTCTGGCAAAAGGAGGGCCGATCTACCGTTAAGGCGCGCCTGCTCGAGCACTTGGCGAAGGTAGAGGCAGCAGAGCAGGGCAAGGAGCCAGCGACCGAAGAAGGTGGAGCGGATACGGGTGCAGGGGCGGACGTCGACCAATATCATCTAGAGGTGTGAGGACCTCCGCCTGTTTTTCAGATTTTAGATTTCTTTTGGCGTTGGCTGCGGAAGGCGAACGATGTAAATTTGGCCGATGGCCCTCCCCCTTTCGCATTGTAGCCGAAAATGGCCCTTTTGATATATGAAATAGATGAACCGGGTTTAGCTAAATGTCCCGTTTTGATGGCTTTGATGTGTATGCTTGCATCATTTTGTACACGAAAAGGGGGCGACGCTTTTTGCCCACTTTATGTGCTCCGCCCTCTCTTAACCTTGCACTTTGCCATTTGTCATTTTTATGCTGTCTCAGCAGGGTTTTCGCCGAAGTTGTGTGATCGGCCTCTTTTTTGGGATCGGTGGAACAAAAATGAGAAATTCGTCGCGGTTAAAGGCCTGCCAAAAATTAAGTATTCATGTCGCGAGATGATAATAAATGGTAATAGTTACAAGGTTTTGAAAGTTGCCGGCTGGATGCGAGCGCACCCCGGGCGAACCCTAGACGACTATGACCGTATCCATGTGGAACATCGGGAGGACATGGCCCGCTTTTGGCGAAATCATCGGAGGACTGATCGTCAGGAAGCGATCGCCCAACGCCGTTATGGTCTAGTTTGTGTTTCGCCTCCTTCTCCTCTTAGGGTAGTGTATAATATTAGTAGTGATGACGAACCAAGTTCGCCAAATCACACCTTAGGGAGTGGAGGGTGCTTTGGAGGCGAAGATGTAATTTTTTTTGTAAGTTAGGCTATAAAGCCAGTTACCTTCTTTCACCTGTACCATGTTGTATGGCATATATTTTTTGAAGTTAATACAGATGTGTTATATTTCCTTTTCGCTATTATACGCATAGCCACCTTTCGTGCTTTTGTTAGGTTGAAACATGTCGGCCCCCTTGCGTATATTAGCGAAATAGGTCTGCTGACTTTTCAGCTTTCGACTTCCGTTTTCGACCTGTAGTATTCCGCGTTAAAGAAACGCTCGTGTTTTTTACATAGATCGAATACGACGGTGCTCGGTTATTCATTTCCTGAATCAAGTTGTCGCGGTTTCAACGTTCGGCGAGCGATGTTTCGGCCGATTCGTTTTGCCCCCTAGCGCTTTCGCTGATCAGACGTTTGCCTTGGGGTTTTTCCACGAATTATCACACACAAGTAAAAAAGGCGAAAGACATAAGGATTTTATATTGGTTCGGGCCTCCAGGATGGATAATAGCCCTACATCCAGTTTTTTTTTTCATTTTCCTCTTTTTTTTTGTATTTTTGTGCCGAAGGGCTTACATAATAAGAGATGCCGAAAGGCCTATATGATAGTATGTACATTTTTACAAGATGGCGAATGGGGTGCCACCCCTTCTAGACATAGAAACGGTTAAGAGAAGCAGCATTCCAGGAGTGGTTGAACTCTTCGCCTTCCAGCGTCGCCAAGCGAAAAGAGCCAGTCCTGGACCTATGCTTGATGAGGTATGGCCCTTCCCACTTCGATTCAAGCTTTCCAACCGCCACTAGGTTGGCCTTCTTCCTTAGGACTAGATGGCCAGGCAACAGCTCTGTCGATCGAACCTTTTTGTTGTAAGTTGCCGAAGTGCTCTTGGCGTATTCGTGCATGTGTTCTAGTGCTTCGACTCTCACCCCTTCGAGGAGTTCGAGCGACACCTCGCGCCCATCTTCGCCTCCAGAGAACATTACCCTTGATGAGTTAGCCCCTAGCTCTGTTGGGGTCATTGCTTCGTCACTATAAAGAAGCATGAACGAGCTAAACTTGGTTGGCCTTGTGGGGGTCGTCCGAAAGGCCCAGAGAACAGATAACATTTCGTCTAGCCATTTGCCCTTCGCCGCCCCTTCAAGCCTCTTCTTGAGCGCCTCAAGGATCTTGCAATTTGCTCATTCGGCCGCCCCGTTCGATTGTGGGTGTGCGACCGAAGCAAACTTGATTTGCAGGTCTAGGCCTTCGCACATCTCTCTGAACTTGTCAGAATCGAACTGCTTGCCATTGTCAGTGATGAATTCTTTCAGTACTCCGAAACGGCAAACAATGTTCTTCCATACAAATTTCTGTACTGCTACCAAAGTGATCGTACCGAGCTATTCGGCTTCGATCCAATGGGAGAAGTATTCAATTGCTACAATTGCAAACTTGTACCCATTTCGTGCCACCGGGAAAGGGCCAATGATGTCCAGCCCCCATCTAGCGAAAGGCCTGACTGGTGCGATAGGTTACAGCTCGTACTGGGGTGCTTTCTGGTTTCGGCCATGCCACTGGCAGCTTTCGCATTCCTTGGCTTGCTCCACACAAACTTTCAGCACAGTGGGCCAATATACGCCCTAGCGAAACACTTTGGAGGCAACCGTTCTTGCGGCTTGATGCGCACCGCACAACCCCTGGTGTATTTCTTTCGCTATTTCCTCGCCTTCGGTAAAGGAGATGCAGCGAAGCAAGGGTTGGAGCACCCCGGAGCGATACAACTGCCCCGAAGTCAGCTTGATCTTGTGGCTCTGAGCTGTAGGCGCTTTGCTTCTGCTTACCATTCTTGAGGTACTTCACGAACGGTGTTCGCCAGTCCTCTGGGTCTTCGCCCAGTTCTGCCTGGTCAAATGCCATGATGTCCAGGCTCTCTGTGGGCACACTTAGTGCGTACAAAACTTCAAAAAATATGCCTGGCGAATGTGGGCCTCCACTGGCAGCGGATTTCGCCAGGGCGCCTGCTTCCTCATTCCGGTCTCTAGGTAAATGTTCGACCGTTATGCCGGCGAAACACTTTTCCATAGATCGAACAGCCTCCAGATTCCTCTTCATGCCTTCTTCTTTTGCCTCAAAAGATTTGTCAACATGACTTACCACCAGTTTGGAGTATGTTCGGATGAGCAAGCACCGAACCCCAATGCTTTTCCATCCAAGAGGTTTTCACACATCAGGGTTGCTTAGTGTGTCTGCCTGAAAAAAATAATTTTCACATGCGTTTAATTGCAGTGGAACTTTTAGCCGGCTGAAAAAAAAAAACTGTTTGTTGCTGCATAGCAAGGGAGCAAATATCATTACCTATATGGCAGCATAGCACGGCGAGAAAAAAAATCAATGTTTATTCTTCTTGTCGTTTTCTTTTGTTGATGTTCTGTGAAACCAAGGTCTAAGCACTTGTGATATTTAGCTGTATATATCCACTGGTGATATATTTGCATAGTTTCTATCCGTTTTATTTTTTAAAAGAATTGGATCAAAATCTGATGACCGATAAATAGCAAAATATTTCTATATAGGAAAAAGTACGAATTACCCCCAAACTATCGCGGTCGTCCGAATTACCCCCTGATCCGGAAAACCAGACATTCTTCACCCTCAACTTTTAATACCGGACAAATTACCCCCCTCGACCTAATACAGACCGGTTTTGTCCTACGCGGCGTACACGTGGCAGTCCAGTAATCATTTTATTTATTAAAAAAATATAGTACCCACCTGTCATACTCCCCTCTCTCTCCTCTCTCTCCTCTCACACTCTTCCTCTCGCTTTCTCGCCGGTCGGCGCGACTCGGCGGCAGGCGGGGGACGCAGCGACGACGGCGGGGGACGAGGAGGCGGCGGCGGCCACGGCCATGACGAGCAGCCGCCCCTCGGCGCGAAGATGGATGGAGGCTGGTGTGGGCGGCGGCGCGGGACACGGAGACGGAGGCGGCGGCGGCCACAACGAGCAGCCGCCCCCTCGGCGCGGACCCCCTCGCCTTCCACGTCGCCGCCTCCTCCTCCCTCGCGACGTGGCCGCCGCCGCTGCCACCACCACCACCACCACTCCCCACCTCGCCGCGTGCCCTCGTGACCTCCTCCTTGATCCCCCGCCTATTTATACTCGTCTCGTCACCCGCCTCATCATCAACAGCAGCAGCAGCAAAAGAAGAAAAAGAAAAAAGAGTGATCTAGCTAGCTCGCCTGAGTTCATCAGCTGTGTAATTTGAGTTATTAGCAACAATGGCGGGCTGCTACCATGGCGCTGAGTCCTCCTTCGCCGTGCCGCCGCTGGTGGCGCGCCATGGCGTGGTGTCGTCGGCGCCGGCCGCGCCGCGGTTGGCTTCCCGCCTCGCCGGCGTGTGTCGCGTTCGTCGCTAGGCCCAAGCCGAGGTGAGCTGAGCGTTCTTGATTGGTTTCACTGTGCGTGTTCTGGTATTTGTTTCGTGTGCTAACTTGGGGCGACTTCGTCGTCGTCGTTCGATCGATCTACAGCCGGAGGTGGAGCCGACGAAGGAGGAGACGACCACATCGTCGACCCCGACCCCGACTCCGAGCCCGCGGCGGCGGTGCCAAGGCGAAGTCGGCGGCAAGCACGGGGCTGTGGGACGTGCTGGCGTTCAGCGGGCCGGCGCCGGAGCCGATCAACAGGCGGCTGGCGATGGTGGGGTTCGTCTAGGCGCTCGCCGTGAANGGCGTCGCGCGGCGGTG